TGGAAGGTCTATGAGAGATTTGGTGTGCTCGATGCCCTTGTACAGCTGTGGTGTTTACAGCCATATTTTGATCGAACTGACGCGCCCTAAGAAACACTAGAACTGATTGTGAAGCTCTAAATATAATATTGTAACAGACATTGCTACTAACAATACCTTAAAGATTCATATCCCATCTATTAAAAGACTTTTTGGTATTTAAAACATCAACTCTTCTATCAGATCATTATCTTAATATTGGCTCCTTGCTTCACTTTATGATGAAAAATTTGCATAAAAAAGACTCTATTTGATTTTTAGTCAATGCACAGATAACTTCTAAAATTGATGAATAATCTTCTTCTTATCTACATTAAAATTCCAAGGTGGTTGCACTTTTGGGTTTCTTTGAATGTTTAATAAGATGATCTATTAGTGAAAAGGTGCAATTAAAAGTGCATCCTGATTAAAAACCTTCATACTTGTGTCTTTTAAATTAATTTTAATTCATATATCATTCATCCTTCACTTTAAATTTTCCAGTTGAATTAAATCTTTGATAGGACCGATTATTACATTGTCTACAAATCTTTATTTATTCTCTTCTATTTCTGATTTAGTATTACACTTTTGATCTCTATTCTATCTATCCTATGGTTATTAATTTCGTTCCATCTTATTTATCTCATCTTGCATTATCTTTATTGTTTAACATCTTCTATATTTGTGATTTGAAGGCATTTTAATTTTCTTATTGACAAGTTTATCTCCTAATCGAATGAATATTTTAGGAAAATTATTTTATAATGTATATCAATATCATAGAATAATGATATTATGTATTCTGGCTTCATTTGATATAAGATGAATATTAAATTAATTGTCATCTTTTCCTTTTCTTTGATCATAAAGTTTAATATTTGAATTTCTTTATAAAATAATTTAAAAAAATAGTGATAGAAGAAGAAGACTATCAATGTACTTGTTGAAATAGAATTCTTATTTTACCCAACAATTCCTTTCACTCCATAATTCTCATAATGATTCACCTCTTATCTTACTAAATATATTTGAGGTTGATGCCATTTTAGTAATCCTGAACTCTTCAATTTAATCCATCTTAAAGAATTTCAATATAGCACTGATTCTTCTTACTATTATGACTATTTAATAAGATTCCCCTTGCCTTTTACATAATTGTTTTATCTTTAAATATAATTATGGATTATCTTTTAAAATCAAATTAGAAATGCTTTCTAAGTTATATTCTTGATAAAATATCTTATACTTTTCAAATCTTCCATCCTTATGAACAAGAATGTTGTAATTTAAGTTCTCATTTTTTTTATTTCAACTTTTCACTCATTTGAATTAAATTGATCTTAGGGTATAAAATTGAAGGTTTAAACTTTACTCGATTTATTAGTCTTATGATAATCTTGCAATTTCTCATTAAAATCAATTTAATATTATGGTAACTAAATTTATTCATTTTTATAATATTATCAATGAAATGATTGTAATAACAAATAGCTTATAATTCCTTAATTATGTGCTACAGTTAATGTATTTATCATTTAAGTTTTAAAAATATGTTTACTATGATCATTCTAATATATAAGATTCATTTTAAAGGTTTATTTATCCAAAATCTAAGAGTTAATCCTTCTATACTCCTTGATAATTACGTTTGTAATTACTTGGGTCTAAATAATTCATTTTAGATTTAGAATTAACATTATTTTAAAATGTTTTAAAAAGGATTTTTTTTTTTCTTCATTAATATATTTATATGATCGCCTTTAATCAAATACAACTTACTAAAAGGTTTATTAGATAGAAAAGGGTATCAAGATGTATATACTCCTTATTCTTAATTTCGATTTTACTATGCATAAATTCTCTTTTGATTTTAAAGATTAATTTACAATCTTAATTTTTTATGATTTATTTTAAGATTTTATAAACAATATTCAAGAATTTGTAATTATGATTCCATTATTTAATATCTAAATCCTTCAATAAGTTATTTTGAATTGACCTTTAATTTTAAGAAATATTTAATCTCTATTCTTATTAATTGATAGTAAAGAATGATTTATTTATAATTAAGACCAAAATTAAATGTTGAAATTTTCAATAATATAAGGATTTAGGTAAGACAAGAATAAGATGATATCAAAATTGATGTAATCTTCATGTTTTTAAACTGTTATAATGTTTTTAATTCAAAACTTAAAATGGTATAAGATGAGGATCAATCTTTTTATAAATTCTTATTGTCAGATCAAATAATTGAAATTATTCACCATTGGTAAAGGTTTACGTTTAAGATTTATTATATCCTCTATGAATATCTTAATCATATATTATACTATTAATATATTAAATTTAATAAATAAAATGCAATTGATTAAGTAAATAGTGTTATAAATATGGAGTCTCAAGGATATAATATCAAAAAGAAATTAAGAGAATAAAACCCTGAATTTTATTTATATACACTCATCTACATATAAGCATGTGAATTCATCATAATCACAAACACCAATTATTTAAACTTACCCTTCCAAAAAATCTAAATTAATTCATGCAAGCTAATATTCTAAAGGTTGAATCTAGGAACTTTTTTTATTTGTTACAGCCATTAATCATTCATTCATGTAAATTTATCCAATCCAATTAATGAAACTTAATTTCCATATTTTTCAAACTGTTAAGTTAACTGAAGATATTTTCTTAAACTATAATATCTGATAAGAGTATAATTTTTTTTATATTCCTAATTTATGAATTATATAAATAAATTTAATTTTTATTCTAATTTAATATTATTCTGAATTAGTTTTATTAATAGAAATAGAGAAAATGAAAGTAAAATATGTTTATAATTTTTTAAATGAACAGTGAATAAATTGTTACCTTATATAAAAATAAAGTAGAAGAATGTGTTGAAGGTGTTTAATAATATTTAGATGTAAGTTATTGAATAATTAGTGCTCATTCAATAAAATTAATGCTTATTTAGATTAATTACTTCTTGATCCTTATCCATCTATTCCAATCAAGAATCTAAATTTGGTTGTACCAGTTGTATAAATATAAATACCTTCTACAAAAACATTAATTAATTAATTAATTGAAGAAGTGAAACCTATAATCAATTCAACTATTTATAAAAAATTAAATAAAAATTAGAAAACATACATAAAATTTAATAATAGAATCAAATTTTATAAGATAATCATCATTAATCAAATCTTAAATCATTCAATTATAATTTAATATAGAATCATTCAATTAAATAAATTGAATAGTGTAAAGCAATTGCTATTAATAAAGAAAATTCAATAGTATTAGCTGAATGTAATAGTGAGATAAAAGTATTTGAATTTAAATAAGAATAGTTGAAACAAATTTAACTTATAAGTGAACATTAATTGGATGTTACAAGTTTAAATTTTATGAAGAAACTAAATCAATTTATATCTGGGAGTAATGATAATTAGATTATTATATGGTGTATGGATTAATGTTATTAATGGATCAGCTCATAAAAATTGAATGAACATAAAGATGATATTGATTTTTTATTATTAAACAATAATGAAGATCTTCTACTTTCTGGAAGTAATGATAAAACAATTAAATTTTGGATAAATACAATGAATGGATATGTCATAAACTATTACAGATCATTAATAATAGAACAGTCATCATAGGATTAAAAATGGAATGTAATATAAAAGATAAAAGTCTTAGAGTATGCTTTATCAATGATAATGTGTTCACTTTCCAACCTTTATGTAGAGAATAAATGTATGTTTATGAGATCAATAATACTAATAAATAGTACTCAAAGACAAAAGAAATTGCTGTTAAATGTGATTATTTTGTATGTTATTACTATTTCCCTTAATAATATATCAAGTCGAAATGCATGATTGTGTATAAGAATGGATAGAATATTAATTTGATAAGGAAAAACCAAAATGGTGATTTTGTAACATTTTAGCTATTCAATTTGGTGATAAGTGTATTTTTGGATATTTGAGTGAAAATGGAGAGTATTTGATGACTTGGGATAAGAAATCTAAGGAAATTAAATTAGAAAATATCATTAATTATGATGAAGAATGAATTATTATTAATAATATAAGAAATATTTATTCATTTATTTATTTAAAGAGATTAACATGAAAAACATCGTAAATCTGATTATATAAAATAAAATGAGACTCTAAATTTATAGACTTAAGTTTAAAGTAAATATATCACAAAAATCAATATATTGGTTATTCAGATCAATTTAGCTATAATGTGTATTTGAAATAAAAAAAATATAATTATGCTATTGAAATAATCAACAAAATTATAGTTCAAAT